GGTAGGTACGAACTAATTAAGTACTACTACCGTCCGTTCGTCTACTACCTTACCTTACTACGTACACGTAACGTAAATAACGTAAGTACGCTCTTCTTCTTCTTCTCTCTCTCTCTCTCTCTCTCTCTCTCTCTCTCTCTCTCTCTAATGCACGTGGGAATGAACAAGACAATTCATGCATGATTAGTCTCAAATCAGTACCCTTCCCACTGCATTAATCAGGTACCAATAGAGTGTTCAAAGATAAGCATAGCTGCTTTTTTCCAAAATCAAGTGGTTAAAACCAGTTCTCTCACAGGATGGTTACACAAGTTAAACTTCATTTTGAATTTAAATTCAAAGCACCCCACAATGACTGTAATGATCAGCTTCAATCCATTCTTGAAGTTAAAACCCTTCCGAAATTGGAATTTGAACAAGAAACCACCTTGATTTGCTTTGATCAATCCTGAGAAGATTGAGGAATAAGCGGTTATTTGGATCACTCATTGGTCAAGCCATTATGTAGTTTGCGCATGTCTGCTTCATATCAACGCCACTTCGCTTTGTGATGGTGAATCCTTTTTACATGAGATTTTGCGTGATGAAAGAGGACTCAAAGACAAATCCAAAGGACCAAGTATCACCTCAAATGGATCAGTAACGAGGGAGATATACCCTGCCAAAGTTGACCCATTTTCTGTAACAGATTTCAAGAGCAGATCTGGCTATTACGAACCCATCCGCTTTCATCTCAAGGGATTATGGGCCTGGCAGCTAGATATTCTTGTACAAGGACTCATGAAGAATACCTCCACAAAATTTGGTGCGAAAACTCCTGATATTCTATGAGATATTGCAGACCGGCAATCAAGCTTTTATACAGTTTTATGATTACTGTTTTAGCTCCAACCACTTTCACATGGGAGCTACCCTCTCATGGTTGATAGGTATTGAGTTAGGAATCCAATGGTCCAATTCCCATGAGACAACTCCTAATAGATTAGAAGATATCTAGATTTACCGACCAGAGGTCATCCTGGCTGCTAAATATCTGCTTGGCAGCCAGTGGATACAACTCTTGGCTACCGTTGAGGGGTCAAATCATCTCCAAATGAGCTAAAAGTTTGGGATGAGGGTTATCACACCTCAAATATGATTGTCGCATAGTTTGTAGATCAATCTCCAAGTACTATGTTGGGACCAACGGCCAGGGTATATCTGGATAGACAATGTATTTGGGAGATGTATCAAATGATGTTTATTTTATATGATTCTTGGACTAGAGGCATATGAGGCCTCATTATGTATCTCTGCAAAATTCTACCTCATATACGATTGGATGAGGTTTCACATGGACCGGCTGTTGAATCCCTCTTGAAGAATGCTGGTTTTCAAGACATATCAAATTCTATCAAAACTCCTATAATATCATGCTGCGAGGAATATAGGGGCAATATAGTGGAATATAGTGGCAATATTGTTACATCCACTATATTCATCCTTTTTTTTCCCTTAATC